CCCGTTGCGGAGCACAGGCTCCGGATGCGCAGGCTCAGCGGCCATGGCTCACGGGCCCAGCCGCTCCGCAGCATGTGGGATCTTCCCGGACCGGGGCACGAACCTGTGTCCCCTAGCATCGGCAGATGGACTCTCAACCACTGCGCCACCAGGGAGGCCCTGGGTGGTATTTTTGAGTCTTTGTTGGCCTGAACATTTCCTTTCTTTAATACCCTTAGACTTAATTGAATTCTAAAGACACATAGAGTTTGAACCAGAAAATGCTTTTTACCCAGAATCATTCACTCCATTTTCTTCCAGCATCTAGATTTCATTTTGAGAATTTCACCATAATTTTTAATTCCAGATATTTGTATGTGCCATGCATTTTCTCTCTGAAAACTTTTATAATGCCTTTTAATCCATAGAGGTAAGACATACCTAATGTTAAGATTTAGTGTAAATCTTATGCATTAATTTTACTGGATAGCCAGTAACCATTTTCAAACTAGAGAGCCATGTGCTTTGTTTCAAAAAATGTTCCCATGGCAGTGAAATAAGTCAGACAAAGATAAATACTGTATGATACCACTTACGTGTGGAATCTAAAAAATACAACAAATTAGTGAACAAAACAAAAAAGAAGCAGACACAGATATAGACAACAAACTAGTGGTTACCAGTATGGGGAGGGGGGCAATGCAGTGGGGGGAGAGTGGAAGATACAAACTACTGGGTGTAAGACAGGCTCAAGAATGTATTGTACAGCATGGGAAATACAGCCAATATTTTGTAATAACTGTAAGTGGAAAGTAACCTTTAAAAATTTTATAAAATATTTAAAACTTAAAAAAAATTTTATTTCTTAATTTAATTTTAAAAAGAAACAATTGGGAAAAAATTCACATGTATTCTTTTTGGATAAGTTCCTCATAAACTTTTGTTTAATTTTTGTGAACATCTTATTAGGGAGATGGCAGGCATCCAGAATTTGCCTCTTCCATGTTCTCCTTGCATACAGAATATACCCATCCATCCCAATAGCCTTAATTTGTTTCAGGACTAAGTCCAAAGTCTCATCTAAATATCCTCTAAATCAGATATGGTTGAGACAATTCATTCTGAGGCAAATGCCTAAATTAATGACTCAAATCCTTCTTTAATCAGTATCAAATTGTTGCCATTTACATAACCCCTTATTTGGTTGGGGTTTTATTTTAAACACTTGACTAAATGCATTATCGTTCAATGAAAATAGGAACAAAAGAATTCGACAACTTATTTTATTTCTGAATTTTTAGCACAATGACAAAGCACATGGTAGGAACACTATATTTATTGAATGAGTTAATGAATGAGTGATAACCAAACATGGATCAATCAATCACTTCTCCCATGTCCCCAGCTTGCTGGTAAACTTGGAGGAAAATGCCTGGACTCAGTACACAAATTACAGATTGTAAACTCCAAGGTCTTCTCAAACTGCTAATTCATCAGAGACAATAGGTCTTCATAGAGATTTTTCAGAGGATTCTCTTTGGAGAAAGGTTCACCAGGAACATTCAAAGAGCAATAAAAAATGTTATATTTTTTAAATATCAAGGCATCATTCTCTGTCTCTCTCAGTGACCCTTAAGTGTTCCAGTTGCTCCCTTTAGCATTCTCTGATTTTATTTTTTCCTCTGTTGTTTTTTTAGCTCTTACATTTTTGTCCCAATCAGATTATGAGTAATGTATTTTTTTTTCTTTCTGAGATATTTCTAAAATATCCCCTCCCTAAGCAATGTCAAAATATTGATTTCAGAGCTTCCCTGGTGGTGCAGTGGTTGAGAGTCCGCCTGCCGATGCAGGGGACACAGGTTCGTG